CACTGTGCAAGATTGAAAACTATAGAAAATTAAAGGATTTTAATAGCAATTATGTACACTATGTGTAGCGATAATAATCACTAAATGAAAAAAAAATGTAATAATAAAAAATAAAGAAACATAAACTTCACAATATTGTTTTCAAATTTAATTTTTTTATTTTATTTATTACAAGTTTTTTTTTTATCTAAGAAAAACTTGAATGATATTGTTCTAATAATTTTTATAAATGAGGAAGGTGAGAACGAAACACAGTTATTATTTAAATATAAATTGTAAAAAGGTAAAATCATTCTGTAAACAAGCATTGCTTTCCACAAGCATTCAAAAAAGATGGTTGAAGAGTGAACTTCTTAATGGGTTTCATCAATCAAACTGTCAATACCCGGACTGACCACATAGAGCGTGAAAAATTCTCTTAACAACAAACGGAAAAAAAGGGGGTAGGCATCCCCTTTATCTGACCCTCGCCGTTTGGGGTGCATCTCTGGTAAATATGCTTGCCCTTTTAAGAGTAAAACTATATCAAGTAGGCGCCACCAGGAGGGTTAATAAATTTTTATATTTACAGTGGTTCCCAAAAGTGTTCGTTCACTTTTATTAAAATAGGGCACTAATTAAATGAATATTTCAGAATGGATTTTTTATAAGATGTATAACCTATTAGCAAAACTGCATGAAATAATTTAAAAACAAGGCAAAAGTTTATTTTTAAGAATTCAATAACCAAAAACTAACAAAAATTTTACCTCACAAAAGTTATTGCACACTTAAATGTTTTTAGAATTAAAATTATATTCTATCGCTTTAATTTTATTATTTTTCATTTAATTTTTGATTAATTTATTTGCTATTTAGTATCAAACTTACGAAAGCAAAATTATATTTTAATTTTTACTTGCTAACTCAATAATATTTTTTTTTTACCATTTAAAAACGGCTCATAGTTGTAATGAAACAATAGACAACATTTGAAAGTTGATTATTTGTCATCATAAGAGGTAAATCAAAATTGAATATTGCTAAATTAGTTTAATGTGTCCTATTCCTCAATGCAACATGTGATAAAATGCTTCAAAGGACTTCATATGAGAGATTTAAATTATAAAATTTGTGGAAAAATTCATTAATTCACATTTGAATGTTGTAAAAGAAATTTGTTCGTTTTCCAAAACAAACAAAGTTTTGTTTTTCTTCTTCCTAATAAACACATATGGATAAAAAAAACTTATATACATCATTTAACGTGTTTCCTATACATTCCTTAGTCTTTGTTAGCTTTTTATGGTAAAAGGAGAAACAGTTTTGGAAATATTATCTCTGGAATGCAAGGCACTTTACGAACTTTCGATATTGTGATTATTACACAACTTGAATCAAATATTTATCGACAAATCAGAAAAATTAAATGTTAAAATAGTGTTGGTTTTTAAAAAAAATCTTTTTTAAATTAGAATATGTAACAAAAGTTTAAAATGAAATCGAGAAAATTAGCATTAATTGCAACGATTTGTCGACAAACATTGCTGTTAGCAATTGTAAGAAAATGTGTGATTGGTTGACTTGGCTGAGAAAAAATAATTTACAGATTTCATTGAATGGAAGCTTTCAGAAAAAGAGCGCAATATAAAATTCATTGTTATTAAATTATAACCAACTAATTTTTGGAGAATTTCATAAAGTTAAAAATACTAAAACATTTTGAATCACTTCTTAAAATAGAAAAAAAAAATGCCATCAAAGCAGCGTAACAAACTTGAACCATAAATGGATTCAGCCCACGAACTAGAAGAGAAAAAAAAAACTGAATTTTATAAACAGAAGCAAATATCCTAACCCCTTCTTCCAACTCCACCGCAATCTTTGCTTTTCCTAAACTGCACTGCCTCCAAAGAGGTCAAAGGTTTCTCCATTCTTTTAGCAACATGATCGAGTTTTTATGTGTCATTCTACACTGGTGGACAAAATTAAGAGATGGAAGTCATTTTTCCAAATATCTGAAAAAATACTGAATATAAATAAATGAAATTTGGTATGGATATAGCTTATTCCATGATAATAAAGTATGGAAAATAAAAATGAAAGTGCCATTCACTGGCAAGACCTATTGCCAATAAATCCAATGAAGTCTGAACTTAAGGATAAAAGATGACAATAAAAGTGAGGCTTGTACAGTGTGAGTTGCCTCTAGTATGGTGTATGATCACCCCTGACAGACAGACAGCATGCACAAAGTGTACGCATGCTGTTAATAAGGGAGTTAAGGAGGACTTGAGGAAGACCCTCCCATTCTTCCACCAGAGCAATTTTTAACTCCAGAATGGTTCTGGGGGGAGGTTGGCGCATCGCAGTAGCTCTCCCAAGAGCATCCCAAGCATGATCAATAGGATTCAGGTAAGGGGATTTGGCTGGCCAATCCATTCGTTGAATATCCTCGCTTTCCAGATACTCATCAACCATGAGAGGAGCCCTATGAGGTTGTGCATTGTCGTCCATAAAAATGAAGTCAGGGCCAATTTCCTTGATAGTTCCAGGTGGGTGGCCACCCTCATATATAGAAAAGTGAACCCAAAACCCAACTTTCTACATTACCAGCTGGTAATTTCTTTTGCAAGCCCGTCAGCTCATGGTAGTGCCCCAAATTTCTCGATTATTGCATGTAAAGAAAGATATGTAATATCAATAATAAATTCTTCTACTTAAGAGTTTGGCTAAGGCAGGAGCATACGGGGCAGTTGCCCCAGGCCCCGCCCCCAAATCGAATAGAAAGTTTATTTTACATTTGAGGAACTTTTAATTGCTTTAATGAACTTTTTTTAAACAAAATATCAGTACAGTGTAAAATCCGTCAGATTTCTGTCAGCTTCTTTATTAATCTATCGGATGAACACAATCTATATTTCGTAAATCCATAACTTTCAAGGGCTGAATTCAGCTAAATTTTTGTAATTACGATAGACACATTTGGTCACTCAAAAGCCTGTATTTTAACATATCGCAAAATGTGATATGTTTACAAAAGTTCAGGCTTCTGATTGGCTCCCTTAATCCATCATAATTGCAAAAATTTAGTTGAATTCCACCCTAATGTCAGTAAGTACAGGAATTTTTCGCAGCTAGATGACAAAGTTAACAATCAGAAAACTCTATTCGGTATGATGGACATAGAATTGTCCGAAAATCAATAAAATGGACAAAACGATATTTTGTCTGACCTTTAGAGGGGGACTTCAGACTTTTTATACAGGGATGAGAAAAAGGCAAAAAAGCTAAATTTCCACACGAGTAAATTTTACACACGCGCAATTGTTTCATAATAAATTCCAGACAGTTTAACATAATAAATAACAATGTGTTGATGTAAAATTGTGTACTAATTTATTATTATATAAATTATTACATCGATACTTAACATTTAGTAAAAACAAAAATTACCAACTGAAAAAATCAAGCTAGAAATTATATTTTTCTTTAGTTCACATAAGAGACAATTATTACTTGAAAAACTACCTGGTTTAGCAAATTAAAACTACTGAGAAGAAACATTAATATTCCATTTCTTTTAATAAATACTGTTACATGATTTATAGCAAAAAACTTTTACAATTGGAATCACTATGTTCATATTATAATCTAATCTAACTAGAGCCCTGTGAAACATATAATTGTGAAGTAGAAATATATAGTAACTCCTTAACATACAAAAATTGCTACTTTAGCTTGAAAAATTACATAATCAGGAACTGTTTAGATAATTATTTTTCATTAGATAAGAGTTTTGTATTTTATAGCATAAATAACAGCAACACTATTTTTAAAATTTTCGATTTTGATCCTGAGTTAATGAACTCTTTTTCAAAAAAAAAAAAAAAATATTATAAAAATTGAATAATTTCTTAAGTGATCGCTTCTGTTTGCTATATCTTTTATGTTTGCTATATTTAGTCGTTAGCCCATCTTCAAACATCTTGTGACAATTCCTACTTTTTCTTCTTTGAAAGCACAGAATGTAAGTTTTGAATATATTCTCTTCCAGTTTCGCTGATGTTGTAACACCTACATATACTAATAATTGTCGATATAAAAACAGTCACCTTTATTGTAACTAATTCAAGAAAAAAAATTACTTATTTTAAGAATCGCTATAATCGATCTTAAAATTATGTGAATACAAATTGCGATCCGGGATATATGATTTATATCTCGTAAATAAGAATCGCAATGTACGATATTCAAATTGTGTGAATGGGAATCGCACCACGCAGCTGCTGAATCACGAAAATACGGAAAGCTATGTTTGATATTAAAATTGTGTGAATAAGAATCGAGATATTATCAGATTCCGGGCATGAGACTTTTAAAAGACTTTCCTGAAGCAGCGACGTCTGAATTATGAAAATACGAGCTATCTGGAGGGCGGGTAAAAATGAGGAAAATCTTACTTTCTGCACATAAAAGCGGAGAAAATAGCTGGAATAAGTACAAATGCGGAAAGGTTGGTAGCTATGTAGTTTGAATTTTCTGTTAACCTTTGAAAATCGGAAATAAATATAATTATTTCATTTCAATGGCTGACTTTTCTGAAAAAATGGAATATTTATTAAAACAAATTAAATTTTTAGAGAATTGGAGTTTTTGATAATAGGGCTGAAATTCGAGAGACAAAAGTGAAAAAAGCGGAAATCCGCTGAAAAACAGAAAAATCTCATCCCTGTTTATAGCTACTTTAGGCTCTAGTTATTTTTCTTGTTATCTATAATGAGGTGAAAAATTTAAATACCTCTATAAAGTTCGGTTCTTCATTACTGAAGTCGTGAAGCAGAGGGGGTCCCAAAAAAATTTTTTGCCCCAGGCCCTGCTTCTACTGATATGAGCAATGCAAATAATTTTTTAATTAAATACTCTCATACTTAAATATAGAGCGATGAATTAAAAAAATGTATTATTTGGGTATGACAATAATTAAAAATAGAGTAAAATAAAGAAAAGTTAAAATTTACCGGAAGAATGAGAAGCACAGCCGAGGGGGCTAGTTGAAGATTTCTCAATGTTTCCGAATAATCCGATTCAGAAAACTGTCTCCTCGGAAAAGTCGTACACAAGGAGAAGTTTGAAAAGGGTGGACGAACTTCCTAAAAGAAAGAAACATGAATGACTAAATAAGAGAACTTAGTATGCTCTACCAGCACTGAAAGGAAACATATTAATGAAAGTACTCATTCTCTTTAAAATGAGAATAAATACAGTTCTTGGGATTTAAAAAATTGACCGTCTAGAGAGTTGTCTATTCAAAGGAACTTATAACAAAGGCTTTTGCCATAAATTATTTTTAGAATAACTGCAATGATATAGAAATAAATCTATAATAATTTCCTGAATTTTTGGGTATTTTAATTAACTTTTCTGACATTTCCATAATTTTTCCAGAAAAAATTTCCATTCTTCCTGAGTTTCCTGTCACGCAGCCACCTTGATTGCAGGACAATGTGTTGTTTTAAGGGTAACAATCATCTTTGATAAGTTCATATCTTTTGTTTATTTATATTTTATAAATTATTTTTGAACATGCTGCTAGTGCATAGTTCTTCATCACAAATTTGGATAGCATTAATTTGATTCTATCATCATTTGTTAACTTTCTATATACAGTAAAAGCTTGGCATAACAAGTACAGCATATTACAAAAAGTACGCTATCATGACAAATTTCGACGTTGAAATCCTAATATAAAAAATACAAAAATTGTAGGCTTGAAACAAAATAAAAAATTATTAGTCTTATTATGATAACAGTTTTTAAAAGGAATAAATTTTTCTGCTGTTTTGATAATGATATGATAAGGTTACATTTATTTCTAATGCAATACAGAAAACGAACAATTTTAATCTACAATTAGTTATTTTCTTCCTAGAGATCCTTTTTCCATATCTATTATGCTCCTCCCTTTAGGACTATCACTGTTAAAAGGTATCAAAAACTTGTCATTCATTAATCATAGTATGTATTTTAAATTAAAAAAAAGTTTTTCAAAATATATGAGGTAAATATGTCTACACATTTTTTTTTAGTATTGTTATTTCTATTTTAACATGAAATTCGTGAGTTTGTTTATAACGGCAAGCACCCTATAATGACAGTTTTATCTGCTATTATGAATTGTAGTCATAACAGACGTTTACTATTACGAGGGTCAACGCCGAAATTTTTGAGATACAACTAGGTTTTTAAAGTTACACTTACAAAATTTTAGGTGTGTTCAAAATAATCTCCTCCAGCATCAATAAACTTTAATAGTCGAATTTTCCACAGATTAAATGCCTCAAGCTATTCATTTCTTGGAATAGATGAAAAAAATGCATTTATAGCCACATAAATCTCTTCTTCTGAATGAAAACGACGTCCACGTAAGTTATTTTTTAGATTAAAGAATAACCAAAAGTCACACATGGCTAGATCAGGTGAATATGGCGGATGTTCCATCACTTTAATTTGTTTTTATTTAAGAAACGCAACTGTTAATCTGGCTGTATGTGTCATGCTGAAGCATTAGTCCACTAACATTCACTTCTTGTAGAATTTCTGGAAGACATTTAGTGGTATGCCAGTTTGCTGTTACTGTTACCAACTTGATGGCTTTGACCAATCCCGTACTTCTGAAGAAAGCGGCATACATCACTTTTTTCAGTGTGCGGTGTCTTTTCACCATTGTCGGCATGAGATCATCTTCGAAGACCAATACTTAGCTTTCTTGAAGCGCTGGAACGTCAAAAACCGGTATGTATGTTTCATCACCCGTTACAATTTTAGAAATGATGTGGTGACCACCATCATTTAGCAATTTAAGAGTTGTAATGTGTGGTGCATAGGGGGGGAATTAAAACAACCGGCTAGCTAACTTTTTTCTTTTACTGTAAACATGACTATAGATAGCACTCAGCACATTCACAAACATAACATATAAAACATATATAAAGAAAAAATAAGGAGCTCCGCAAGGCAGGCTTTCTACCGTTCGTTCACACTCTCTCACTGTCTCTGAGTTTTTACTATAGTTTCTCGCAAGGGGGCGTTGCTAGTCCCAGTTTCTCAACAGAGTTTCTTTACTGATTCTGACACGCTCCTCTTTTTGGTGCTCAGTTAGATTGTGGGGAGCAAACTACTTTTTTCACATGTAATTCTTCAGGAATAATTTTATGTATGGCTGAGGATCCAATGTTTAGTTCCTTCTGTATAATTTGATAGGTACAGCGATTATCATACTTTAACATTTTTCATATGGCAGACCCATTATCCGGGATTACTGCAGACAGTGGCCTTCCTGTGTGTTCTTCATCCTGAAGAAAATTGCGACCCCTGCTAAATTCTTTAAACTATCTGAATACAATAGCACGAGATGGAGATTCATCACCAAATGCTAATTGCAACCGTTGAACGCATTCTTCTTGATTTAATCCTGCTTTAAAATCGTAGAAAATCATAGCACGAAAGTGTTTTCGCATCAACTCCATTTTCTCTTCTGTTTAAAATTTATTCTACACTAAACAAGCTGTAGTAAGTCAGTAAAAAATCGTCTGCTATTTTAAAATACTTTGTATTTTAAAATTAAACCGTTATTTTTATTTTGTAAATTCTCGTCTGTGCATATCTCAAAAATTTCAGAGTAACCCTCGTATTTCACTCTCTACAATATTAAAAAATTTCTTAATGTTATCTTTTTTTTGATTTCCTTATTAATAATCTGAATACAGGGTATCTGCTACATTTTAGATTTTCAAATTCATGACTTTTTATAACTAATTTCTAGAATTTTTCATGACTTAACAAAGTTACTATTTTCAATGACAAAAACACAACGAGAAGTTTTAAAAAGCATTATAACATAAATTGAAATATGTATAACCAAATATATGTATAACCAAATATATGTATAATATGTGTATTGATATGTATAACCAAAACTGTTATACTATGCACTGTCATATTTAAAGATTTTAAATTAAAAAAGAAAAAAAAACAGAGTAAACAGAGAGTTGAAGCAATAAAATAGCTGAAAAAAATACAAAAGCAAATAATTATATTCTACAGATAATTTTCTTGTTCATCCAAGAGGAAAGAAATACTCCTGATTTTTCTCACTTATTTCAGAATTTAAAACAATTCGCCAATGACTGGCTTGCTTCAGCTAGAATTTTAAATTGATAAAATAAAAATAAATAATAACAAAAATTTTGAAATCGCAGAAGCTTAAAAGATAATTCGCTCAAGAAATTATTTTTCTTTCATTTTTTGAAAGAACATCATAACTTTTAAAGAACATGATAAAAACATTTTATATTTTAATAAAACACGACTGTGAGTTCAATTATCTGAATTTTATTACAAGTTCAGATATTCGGAACACCATGAAATGGGGGTGGGAGGTATTTTCAAATTACATTTTAAAAATTAGATTTTTCAGCGACTTAAATCCATTTCTTTAAAAAAATAGTTACAATCATGACAAATTTTGTACAATACCAAAATTCATGACTTTCCAGGTGCGCAGATACCCTGAAAATACCAAACAAGCCCCAGATTCGTTACTTACTCAGAGAAATTACTTAATGCAATGCACTGTGCAATCAAAAAGCCATAAAGAAATGTCAGTGTTCTCCCATCAAAAAAATTAATTCTCTTTAAAAAAAAAAACATATACACTATGTCATGTGCAAAAAAACGGCAAACAAAAAACAATTTATAAAAATGCAGAGTATCTACTTTGAAGGGATTTAAAAGTGTTTCTTTGAAAGACAGTTCTAACCTCTCATGAGAAGACATATATTCATGAAAGCCTCTCAGGTATTTTGCTCATAAAGTGAGAATAACTTCAAAGTATATACTTACTTCTCTGACAAATCTTCTAGCTTCTTCAAGAATGGCATCAGCAGAAAAACAATGAGTAGAATATGAACCATCCGGCAGACGAAACTGAAGATGTGCTTCATTACTGTCAACATTTGAATGGGTTCAAATTTGGGTTTACATTAAAATCAAACTTTAATAATCAGAAATAAATTTATTATAAGAGAATTTAGGTTTAAGAATTTGAAAATAACTACTTCTCTCCCCCCCCCTCTTATTTGAATGACCTATTTTAACTTACTTAAGCTATTTCAATAATTGAAAATGTGACAGAACTTCATCAACTATGGAAGCGGAACTTGTAGCCTTTTTAGAGGAAATTTTATGACACACCAACCAGGAATGTGTTAAATTTGAATCACAACCTAGCTAAACCTGTCATAAGAACATTTCTGCAATTAAACATTTTAAATTACTATTTGTTCATCATCAGGGCTGCCACTGGATAAAAACAAGAAAAATAGTTGCATCATATATCAAAAAAAGTCTCCTAAATAGTCTCAAAGATATATAAAATAGTTGCTAACATCATATCCTCCTCTAATATAATTTTAATTATTTGTGCTGTAATAGCATAAAATTCAAATAACATGCATTTAGATACTCATATTTTATAAAAAATGTACATTTATTTGTGGATTTTCCAACAATATATTCTTTCACACTACGCATAAAAACAGGGAGTTTTATTTTTATCTGTTACAGAACAGTTGAATTTGAAACTTGAATTTCCTTTCTCGGTTCTAATTTGCAGCTGCTTAGTTTAGACATTAAAAAAATAAATATTGCAATTTAATTCAATTTTATTTTGCTTATTTTTCATAACTGACACATTTCCAAATTTTAATGTTTATCAAAAAAATTACGATCACAACTCGACAAAACGAATATCACCATGTACCTTTTTTTCTATTCTAAATAGCTCTAAGAAAATTAACAACACATTTTGTGTAATTAAAGATAATTTTGCTACTTCGTTCAAATTAAAAGGGATTAGCTTTCTGAAGCAGAAGGAGCATTCGCGTACTGTGAATTCCAATTCCATCAGTCTGATTGGTTAAATATGTCTGTCATGCTTTTGACATCAAACAGAGAGAAATAATAAAGTTAGGATAAAACGAAAGCGAGGCAAAAAAAAGTGGGGGAAGGGGGGAAATCATGAAGCTATTCTTCATTTTAGTCACTTTGGCTTAAAAAAAGTCGCCGATTTTACGCAAATTAGTTGTTTTTACTCATATTTCTACTAAAATAGTCGCCATTGCTTTAAAATAGTCGCTTTAGTCGCCTTTTTAGTCTCCAATGGCAGCCCTGTTCATCATCTTTTATAAAAACTTATTTGAAGTTGAATAGGCACAAAGCAGGATCCTTTCACTAACAAAAAATGATGGGGAAGGAAATGGCAATAGAAATTTCTGTCATTTTTTATTTCCGCTTAAAGATCTTTTTTTGGTAGTAAAAAAAATCAATCTGAAAATTATTCTGGAAAAATCAAAAACTTTTCCAAGCGCAAAATTAAAGGACTTTTTGGGCCTTCAACAAAACTCAAGGACTTTCCAGTAACCTTAACAAGGCAATATTAGGAAATGTTGCTACAGGCCAGTGAACAGTTGTATCATTGTACATTAGCCATTTTTTCAAAAATTGAAAATTTTAAATGTAAAGCATTTCTTTTAAACCAACACTAGTTATTACAATGCTTATTAGTAGAATGAAGAAAAACAAATGTGAACTAAAATAACTTTCAAAATATTTCCATATTTATTTATAAAAAAAAGGGAAACCTATTAGTGACAGCTTCTTTTCTGGCTCTTTCTTCTTCGTCATATTTTTGTTGAATTCTTTTTCTTTCTGCTTCTTCAGATGCTTTAAATTTTTCATACCTGGCTGCTTGTTCAGCTCTATAAAAAATATAAACAATTAAAACGAAAAAACAGAAGAAAAGAAATTAAAATGTTTGTGTTTTTCTGAACTTCATATCTTGATTGATTAAACATTGATAAGAAAAAGAATGTTACAGATATTGGATAACAAAACATGTAAGTCAAATGAATGCTGAACTTTCATAGATTTGCTTTAATATTTATAGGCACAGTCAACCCCGCTGAAAGGAATACCATTAGTTCCAGCCTACTCTATTCAATGAAACGTGTTATTCAATTAAAAGGGAAGTGCTTTGTTCAATCTTAAATTAAACATTTTTAAGAAATTTTACTTTTTAATGGTATTTAATGCATAGTGTAGTGTTTTGATAAAATAAACTCTACTTAATGGTCGATAAACAATTGTAATTAAAACTTTCTGTGTAAGCATCTTCAAATATGAATGTTATTAAAAGCTCACTGGAGTTAGCAATGATCATTCTACTGAAAGAAACACTGAACACTTGTGTGTTTAGGTTTTTGAAACCTCTTCTTGTCAAAGCTAATAGGAAGGGACTGCAAGTCTTGACCACAAAACAAATCCCTCTTTTACATTCTGAATAAGGTGTGAGTGAAGTAGGGTAAATTCTCCTTCAAAGTGTAACTATCAGCAAGGTTATATTTAAAAGCCTATGTAGAGCAACAAATAAACTGGAAGTGACCACTTATAGTATTCTTAACTGAAAAATGGAAACACATTTTTCTCTTCCAAGGGTGGTTGTGAGCCCAACTCAAAAATCCTGAATAGTTTCTTGAGTAAAATCATTTAATAACACATTTCAAAAAATTAATGTCTTTATAAATTTAAATTAATGTCATTTTCAAAGCATGAAATCCAAAATAAATTATATGTAGCATAATTTAAATGAATAATTATGTATAAGTTTACCTCTAATCACATTTATTATTCTACCAGAAAAAATATTTACAAATTACAAACATTTAGAAGAATTTTTATTTATAAATATAATCGATGATTTCTTGAAACTTCTGGATCTTGGATTTCCGGAAATCCTGAATTTTTCCGGAGCATAATCATCTCTACTCCTCTTTATGCAATTAAGCGGGGACTAGAAAGAACAAGTACCCGTTTAAACGAGGAAATTTAACATTAGTTTCATTTGTAATGATTTGGTTCTGTTAAATTTTATCTGTATAAACAAGTTATTGGATTACCCAATATGCAATTATGTGGGGACGACTGTACCACTTAATGCAAAGTGAATTAACAAAACATATCATTTTCTATTTCGTTGAAAACATACAATTAATACTGTATTTCTTATGGGACTATTCACTGTGAACAATAGACACAGAAAAATGACAAATGTGGGTCATCATAAAACTGATTTAACATAGCATGGAAAGTAACAAGGAAGTAAAGGACTTCAAAATCAATAATTTTTCTGCAAGAATTGTAGAAAAATTTACATTTAAAAAATTATGCACATACTGCAAAAATAATTGCGATGGAAGAAAGAGGATACATAAAATCATTCATTTAAAATATATCAAAATTTTGGTTCGAACTCACTATTTTCTTTTCAACTCAAACAATAAATTTTCTAAATTTACTATTTTTTTCTGTAAATTTCAAAAGCTGAGGCCTTTGACAAATGTTTAGTTGCAGTTCCCTTTCTTTATCTTCATCAGCCTGTCCCCATTTTCATCAACTAATGCATTATATACTCATCTCCCCTTTCTGGTCCTCGATTTTCTTAGGGTCTGATGGACCTTGTCTGACTTTGTACGGTATTAGGAAGATAAGCCACAACAACAAATGTAACAAAAGTGATGTTTGAAATGTTTTCCTTAAACTGCAACAAATACTCCTTTATCAATAAATACAGGAGTTATTGCTCAGCATCTCAAAACAATGTAATCTAAAATTTTAGTTTTTAAATGTCAGGAGGGTAAGCTTTTATAAAAAGTAGTTATAATCCTAAAGTAAAACATTTAGCACAAAACCTTTATATAAATTGACTCTTTATACGTTTTGTTAAGAAAATTTAAAGATGTTTTATCAAGTTTCTTAAAAGAATATAATTCAATATAGATTTATTTTTCATCATGCATCGAACTAAAACAGATCTTTGTTTTGCAAGTAGTATACCGTATAGGCTTATTTTAAATTACGAGATATTTTGCAAGTTTCTGGTATGTTAAACCACAGAAAAAAAAATCAATCATGAAAATTTCTAAAATAAAATCTACAATGTCACCTAGAGTTACAGATATTTCACATCAAAAACGCTTATAAAAAAACAGATCTTTTAGAAGTCAGATGATATTCGACACAGTGCGGATCACAAAATCTTAGGTGATGTAGAATCTTTATGACAACATGGCTATTAAATCCACAACAAGCATCTGTCAATTCTCGTTTCATGCATGCCTTACCTCAGTATACATTTCATGCAAGTTAGGTTCAATTCGCATAATTCCTTCATGGAGTTGCAATTTTCACAAACATGAGGATATATTTCTGTGCAATTGAAAAATCAACATAAGCGACACAAAATTCAAAATTGAGATTTTTATATATTTGGCACGTTTGTATGGCATCTTCTACACATTGCAAAAATAAATAAATAAAATTTTTTGATCTGTTTTTTAAAATTCTATTTTGGCATTAACAATAGAAGGAAAATAGTTGTCATGCCACTTTTCTCAGAATCAATCGCGACGTTGGTTTTTGATTTACACTGCAGTTTACCACTACAGGGTTCCTACACTATTTTGTGAAAACAATATCCTGACTTTTGCAGGTTTTTCCTGATCTTTTACAATAAAATTCCTGNAATTCTATTTTGGCATTAACAATAGAAGGAAAATAGTTGTCATGCTACTTTTCTCAGAATCAATCGTGACGTTGGTTTTTGATTTGCACTGTAGTTTACCACTACTAGTTTATATACAAAATAAATATTAAAGCAAAGTATAACAAAAAAAAGTAAGTATAAAAACTAAGTAACACATTTCAGAAAAAAACAATTGCACAAGTTCGGGTTTGGCTTCATTCTTCACTAAAGGCTTAAAAAAATTACTGATCACCTGATTAAAGAAAATAATTTAAATTTTAAATATTTAGACTACTCTGGAATTTTAAAATTCTTTCAATAGTAAAAGTAACAAATATTTCTAAAAGAAATATCGTTTTCACTTATAAATAAAATATTGCTTTTAAAAGTTTTTCAGTTTTTTTTTTTTAAATTACATTCTAAAATCTTAAAGGCAGTTTTTATCTATATATTATGTCTTATATATCATGCTAATTTAAATTAAGCAAAATTGTTCACACAACAAAGCAGAAAATTTTAAGTTTTTGTTCAGAGCAGAGAAAGAATGTCTCGGTGTCTAATAAGGTAACTTAAAATATCGTCTGCACTGATTGGCACATTTTAGGTCAGTCCCTTGAACCATCAAGATTGAGTCCTGGTACATGAAAATCCAATTGTTAGATCAAAAGTTATTCAAATTGTCTTGCTTTTTTATTTTGTGCACAGAACATTTCATTTTTACACTGATAACTAACCTATCTTGAGCAATCATAGCTTTGACTTTTTCTCGAGCCAGTCTTTCCTCTTCTTTATCTTTTGCCCGGTTTTTAGCCCATTCTTGCATTTCAGTTTCTTTTTTAGTTAAGTTAGCTTGCTGCATGGCTTTACCCATATTTCTTCGAGCAATTTCATCATTTTTTTCTTTCTAAAATGATTGAAAGTTTGTCAAACAAAATATATAATCTAGCATTGAGAGTAGGGAAGAAAAAAAAAAAGAACTCTTAAAAGTTCTGTGAAATGTATTAATTGATTTTTAGTTTTAAAAGTGATGTACCGCACTTCAATTCTTTGGGCAATGTTTGATGCGATGAAAATTTTTAAATTTCTTAGGTCAAATAATTCAATTCTCTGGTTTTTCTTAAGATTGGAAGCTCAGTTACATTTTCCCCTCAAAATATACATATAAATATATATATACACACATGTATACAAGGTGCAAAGAAATTTTGCAAAACGTCAAATATCTTAAATATACATCAAATCAAAAGAGGGAAAATCTGAGCATTCAATATATTTTTTAAAGCAAACCAATATCAAACTTAATTTTCCACCCACACTACTAGAGGTCGGGGAGGGAGCAATTTTGAAATTGTAAATATGAACATCTATTTTTATTACTGATATCCCCAGAAAAAACATATAGATTTAAAAATTTTTGACATATAGATTCATACATTTTGCAAGAGAGAAGATTAAAATAGGGTACAATTACAATAAGATGTTTAAAATTGTGAATCATGAGACCTCAGATTAACAACACAATAAATATGTTAACATTTTTCTTAAAAAAAACAAAAATTTGAAATAAAAATATACCTTAACATTTAAGTGCTAATTGTGCAAACTTCCTTTTGTAAACTTTTCATATGTCTCAGCATTTAAATTTAAATCTTAGCATTTAAAATTTGAGAAACCACTAAATTAGTTGGAAACTAAATTATTCATTTGTATTTTGATATTTTACCTCTTTTTCCTCAGCAGCTTTGCTTTGTCGTTGAGCTTCTATCAAAACCTTTGCTCTGGAAGAGTAATAAAAAAAATATTAACACATAAATGTCTAAATCACCATTTTTTAAAATAATATTTGTAGATAAATAATCAATAGTGCATAATACAAAAAAGTATAAAATAAACCTGCCAAAAACTTCATTTTATTTGAAAAATTTATAAAATTTTAGGATGTTATTCTACAATTTTTAAAACCTATCAAAATCAAATATTTTAAGAGATTTTAAAAAAGAAATTAATTGCTGAGTTATATTTCTAAAAATATTATCTGAATACAAAATAATAAATAAAATATAGTATATTAATAAGTAATTAAGCAATTTTGACACTTCTCTTTTGCACATTTCCCTAAACAGTTTTCCAGACAGCTATTAAAAAAATTTAAAAAAAAAACAGGATAAATAAATAAATATAATTTTTTTTAAAAATAAATAAATGAAAGAAATAAAAGAAAATAAGACTACATTAGCAACTGAACACGTAGTCTTTCAGAAAATATAGGAAAAAATCAGAGATAATTAGGCGAAATTTCATTTAAAAAAATAATTCTGTGAGTGTTTCATGCATTTTTTGGACAGTCCCTAAAACAAAAACTTTGGATATTAATGGAAGAAAAGTGTGCCTTCTAAAATAAAGTATTGACAAAAAAAAAAATCTCAACATGCAATATTTAAAATAGAGCTTAACGAATAAAGGAAACAACTTGCAACAATAAAAAATTTGTGAGGCAATAACTTGAGAACTCGATTGACGATTACAGCATATGTAAATTTTAATAATTCATAACTTGTCCTTCTAAGTTAGAAACTTAATTTCAATATACAGTGAGCTCTCGCCAGTAGGATATCCGATACAACAATAACTCTCCCTATTACGATAATGTTTCATGGTCCCGACAAACTTTCATATGAATTAATGTTATCCTTCTCTCAATATTATGATATCCTCTGAAGCAATAAACCCCTGTAGAACATTTTTTTTCCAAATTTCAACCCTATTTTATCTAATTATAATTGATTTACAAATAATGTAAAAATCTTATTTTATCATCTTTTGCTATTTTTTCTGACAAGAGAGGACTCACTGCCCCCAAAAGCTTCTTTTCTTAGAATTGCCTCACTTATCTCCTAAGAAGTTACAGATTCCTATCTGATTTAATTTCCTTCATGTTAAAAGCTGATCACAAAAAAAAGAATTTTTTCCATAGGGGTGGGTGGAGCACCGTTCACAAACGAAAATCACTTTCATGCTTTGGATTCAATGCATACTTTGTTGGTTGACTTAACAGTAAAAAAGATGAATAAACAAGCAAAAATATTGGACTATTTTCAATAAAAACGGTTTTCAGGTGTCTTTATGATCTTATTTTCTTATTTAAATTAACTTTAATATTTAACCATAATTAACACACAGCAAATTAATTTTTCATATAATGGATAAATCTATTTATAGTTAATACATAAATAACATTAAAAGTCGACCAGGTGGCCGAGTGGTTAGCGTGCCTGACTGCAGAGCTGATGTCTGCGGGTTCGAATCCTGCTCAGAGCATGGGTGTTTCAAGGCTGCCACTGGATGAAAACAAGAAAAATAGTTGCTTTAGTTGCATCATATATGAAAAAAAGTCTCCAAGATCAGGGTTGAGTTTTTAACATCAAAAAGTGGTTTTTGACATGACAAGGGTATAATACTGGTTTAAACCATCAAAAACCCGTCAGAAACTGAAGTTTGCCAAGAAAATATATAATTAGAACATGCATCACACTACACAATCAAAATGAAAATGATGGAAGTAGCATACGGTAGCACATAACTAGTTTTGAAAATTTTTCTGTAATATCACATGAAAATGAAATATTACAAAAGATGTGAGTTTTCAAAAGTACAAGATTTTGGTTACTATTCAAAATATAAGTGTTTCTTCAAAATTTTAAATTTATTTTTTCTAGAACATATTTAGAAACACTATCCTTTATAAAANAATAGCAAATTAGACTAAAATAAACATTAAAATTTTCTCCCTTTCAATTTTGATTTATAGTAAAATTTATCATATAATTTAATTCAAGACTTACATAGCACTCTAATTAAAGCGGAAAATAGTACAAGAGTCATAGCATAGTTTAAAAAAAGTTATAAATTTTTTCTGCTACTAAATCAATTTAATATTCAAATCAAAAGACGTATAAAAAAAATTACTCCTTTCCCAGTAACTATTGCAGGGCTGCCACTGGATGAAAACAAGAAAAATAGTTGCTTTAGTTGCATCTTATGAAAAAAAGTCTCCTAAAGTCACCAAGATATATAATATAGTTGCTATCATATCCTCCTCTAACATAATTTCAATTATTTGTGCTGTAATAACATAAAATTCAAATAACATGCAGTTAGATGCACATATTCTGTAAAAAATGTACATTTAATTGTGCATTTGCCAACAGTATATTCTTTCACACTACGCATGAAAACAGGGAGTTTCCTTTTTATCTGTTACAGAACAGATGAATATGAAACTTGAATTTCCTTTCTCGGTTCTAATTTGCAGCTGCTTAGTTTAGACATTAAAAAATAATAATAATAAATATTGCAATTTAATTCCATTTTATTTTGTTTATTTTTCATAACCGACACATTTCCAAATTTTAAAGCTTATCAAAAAAATTACGATCGCAACTAGACAAAACGAATATCACCATGTACCTTTTTTTCTATTCTAAATAGCTCTAAAAAAATTAACAACACATTTTGTGAAATTAAAGACAATTTTTCTAATTCGTTCAAACTAAAAAGAGGGGAAAAAACTTAATCCTCAGAGATATTACATTAGCATTCTGAAGCAGGACTGGAGCAGCATTCACGTAGTGCGAATTCCAATACCATCAGTCTGATTGGTTAAATAAGTCTGTCATACTTTTGGCATCAAACAGTGAGAAATAATTAAGTTAGGATAAAACGAAACCATGGCAAAAAAATGGGGGAAGCTCATGAAGCTATTCTTCACTTTAGTCGCTTTGGCTTAAAAAATTCGCAGATTTTACGCAAATCATTGCAAATTAGTTGTTTTTACTCATATTTCTACTAAAATAGTCGCCATAGTTGCTATTGCTTTAAAATAGTCGTTTTAGTCGCCTTTTTAGTCTCCAATGGCAGTCCTGGTGTTTCCTTCTCTCTCTGTGTGTACAATGTCCTTTCTTCTGTGTGATTGTAACTCGCCCTATAAACGAGTCCGTGATTCTATGACGTGGGCGATGCTACTCCACCGCCGTGGCTTAGCCACAGGTGCTCACAGGGTAATGTTAAGAGAGTAGCAATTCTGGCATTTCTGAAGCCAATGAGAAATAGAGCCAAGTGCCCGCCATTAACCAAAAAACATTGTTTTAAAAAAAATCTTATTGTGTCACAAATGTATGTAGGCCCTCGATATAACAATATATCCAGCTACAACAATATATTTATTTGGTTCCCAAAATATTGTTGTACCAAGGTTTTACTGTATTTAAAAAAAAAAATCAATAATTTTAATTTCATTAGAATCCATAGCTGCAATTATTAAAATTTTTAAGAAAAAATACTTTTATTATTTAAAGAAGTATTGTAATCTATTATCTACAGTTAAACTACAGATATTTGAACCTCAGTTTCTCCAAGTAAACTACTTTCACAGAGAAATTTCTTTTTTTTTTTATTATTCTCTATTTAGTTAAACGTTCATTAAAAAAGGGAAAAAAGGTCCAATTTTGAGTCTTTCTTTGACACCTAGAATTTTCATCCTTAATATGATTCATTTTATTGCTTACAATACACTTTTTTACATCACTATAATAAAATGTTAGGATACTTTTTGACTAGCAAAATTTTTTCTAATTTTAGAAAATTGTTACAATAATCATCATTATTGCTTTTACTCTTCAAGGAAATAAAAGAGGAAAATATTAAGCAGATTTTGTGAAATGAGTGTTTAACTATCATACAATTATTATGAATGTGTAAACTAAAATTTATTTACTTAACCTAAATGAAGGAAAAACATTAAAATAAATAATTTAATATACCTCTCAACTTTATCCTCCAATGACTGGTTAGTGTCTGATGGCTAGAAAGGAAAGAATATTTCATAAATCATAAAAAAAAATCATTTATTGGAACAACGAAGACAAGTGACTTACACAGGTCACCACATAGATGCATTGAATATTATACAAGGACATAATTTTTGAATATCATGAAGTGTAAATTTTATTAGGGTAAAAAAAAAAATATTGACTAGGAATTAGATTAATGAAGAAAATATATTTTTTAATGTTGTGTGGTTGAGAACTCTAAAAACCAGAAACCAACACTCGATAAGTAGAAAAAACAACAGCCCCAAACGTATGTAAATTACTCACTTTTAAGACTCTCTTCCTTAATTTTAAATATTTATGAGCAAATTTAATATTTCCAATATTACATGCTCAAAGTTTATTTTTCTAGTAATTAGCATTTAAGATTTTTGTTTCCTAGTGATAATACATAAAAAAAAAATTGTCATTACAATTATGAATAAGAAAATATATTAAAATTAGGCATCCGAATTAATAAAATATAAGGACACTTTTACAGTTACATATTATTATCGGACAATATGTTATTATAAAAGTGTTCTTATATGGTTTCATTAACAGGGTGCATAACCAAATCTTTCAACAAAAATAAGCACATTTTAAATACTCAAAAAATATTTTTAATCACCCTATACATTAACAAAATGCAAAAATTTTTTTAAGACCTTACATGATCATGATAAAAATAACTAGTTTCTGACAAAAAGAACTTTTTTTCTTGATTATATAAGCCATTATAAATTGTTCAAGAGATTCTTCAGTTTGATATCAGAGGGTGAAAAATAAAGCCTGAAATTGAGAATGTCTTGCAAAATACAGCAGAGTTGCACATGAGAGTGCAATAATCTCACCAAACCCAGCAAAAAGAAAGAATGTTTATACATACATATATATGTAACACTTCAATAAAATTTCTTATAATTTATTAAATTTTGAATCTTTTGCCTTGCTAATAATATTGTTTTAAATTCAATTTCTAAAATAATTTTGTTAATTATAGGAATAGCAGGATTTTCTTAAAACCATGAGAAAGTTTCCATTTAATTTTGGTTTATATTACTCACTAAAAAAAAAAAAAATTCACGTTTATTTTATAAACATTAGCGGCTATTTTTACTGTCAAGTTTAATTTACAACAAATAATAAACATTTGTATTACATTAGGCATATGTAATTAAAATCTATTATTTTTTTTAAATTTTAGTTCAAAAAGTATATTGATATTTTTTTTTTAAATCTTTGGTTTTGCATTTGTAGTTTCAAGTAACGTGTGTATTTAATTTCATATAACTATATTATTTTTGAGACTAATAAATAGGAGAAATAGAGACCCTGATGTTCAAATAATATCAATAAAATTGTCTGCAATCTTTTACTGGTCCATCTGTTATACAAGTGGCCCTTCACTCAAAAAAGCTGTGATTGAATGAATTTTGTTACAAAATAATTAATAACTATACAATATAATATACATTAATAGCCTTTCTTGAAACTAGTAGCTCTAAACAATTTATCATTTTTCCTAAATTGTATGCTGTAAGCTTTGTTGAGACATTTGTTTAGAAGATAATATGTAAAATAAAAAATGTGCATGCTTAAAATACTTCCATTTTATTGAAATCATTCATTCTCAGAATACAAATTTATCAAGTAAAGTGATGAGATAATAAACATTTTATTTCTACATAGGTCATAGGGTAATTTGATTTTCTACAAACCTCTTTGCAACCAAGGTGCGTAGCCAAATCTTTGAACAAAAAATAATCACCTTTTAAGTACTTTTTAAGCACTCAAAAGATATTTTTAAGCACTATATACATTAACAAAGTACAAAATAATTTTCAATTCATGATAAAATAAGTAGTTTCTGACAAAGAAAACTTTTCTTTATTATATTAGCCATTAATAAAATGAACCAGAGATTCTTTAGTTCGATATCCGAGGGTGGAAAAGGAAACCTGAAATTGAGAATATCTTACAAAATGCATCAGAGTTGCGCGAGAGAGTGCAATAATCACACCGAACCCAGCTCAGTAAAAGCACATGCGAACTCCCAGGTATTTCATCAAACATGTAATATGATTGGGGTGCTATCATACATTGCGGGCTGACGGTAAGCAGAAATGGATCGTGATTAAATGATTTGTGAAAACGTTGAATAGAACAATGTGAAAAGCAAGCTGTTGCATAATGCCTAGCGAAAATCGACAAGGGAAAAAAAGGTCATTTTCGAAAAGGGAAAATTAAGCACCTTTAAGTGCTTTTTAAAAACGCTATGCACCATGGCAATGCATGAACTCCCTGCAATAAGCCTGAAAAAATGATAGCTGAGCCGTGCTAAGGATTTCACATTATTAGCCAGTAAATTAGCCAAATTTCAAAATTCTTAACCTAAGGCAAGTCTTGACAAAACTTTAATCGATTTTTTCCCATTAAAAAAATTTTTTATTTTCAATTTGACAAAACTTTAAATCAAAATATAAATTTACTATAAATAAAATTATTTTATAGAATGCAAATTCAAATCGCCCGGTGGCTGAGCGGTAGCGCTTCGCGCTGTCGTGCCACAGGTCCCTGGTTCGATCCTCGGGCCGGGCAAGGTTGACTCAGCCTTTCATCCCTTCAGTGGGTCGATAAATGAGTACCAAGCATGCTTGGGAACTAAACACTGGGGGTTTCGCGTTCGGCTGACCACCTGACCGGAACATCTGCTCCTGCACCCCAGAGCCCAAGGTCAAGAAAACTGAGATGGGCACAGTAGGCCTTGGCCCTCTATGGGCTGTCGCGCCACTGAGAGAGTAAATTCAAATCAAGAGTCATTTTGTAGTTGAGGAGGAGTAAATCGGCAAAGAATAGGAGAGAGAATGTTGTTTTATCTTATAGCAAAAGAGAGAAATTGGTTTTATAACTCAAGCAGTAACCTGAAGCAATGTTATGTCACAGAATTGTAGATGCTATTGTCAAGAGGAAACATATTTTATGCTTGGATGATAATATGCTATCACCTAATCAGTTTTATTGATGCAAACTGTAGTCACGCGATGACTCATGATCTGGCAGCTAACGTGGTAATCTGTTTTTTACAGTCATAATCTCTCCTGTTGCTTATATTACTTGGATTTAATATAATTCTAATTTGTTAGGCAACTTATCTAATGGAAATTACTGTAATCGAATAAAAAAATACAGGAATTCCCTTTTTTATTTTTTAGGATTTAGGGGGTATATATATTTCTTTTTGGTAGGAAAAATCACTCAGTAAAACACAATTTTTTCCATCAAATTTATGACTTTACTGCTATCATCGAAAGCACAGTTCGCAAAGAGCCAGATTTTACAATTACCCTACGACATATAATGTAAATTATTTAAAGGCTGAAATTATGTTTCCTTTTTAGCTTGATAACCTATTAGCATACGGGTGTGTAAAAATTACAACATTAAAAATTTTTCGATCAGACATTCAATAATCAATTTGCTAATATAATTTTATTGTAACCCATTATAGTTGTCGATTGCTTAGTTGTAACCCATAATATCCCAACTTTGAGATATCTATCCAGACATTAACTTACTAATTCCTTTTTATTTTTGGAACACAAAAATGTGATTTGAAACTCTTTGGATCTCACTAAACTCAACCTTTTTATTAAATAATTTATCATAGCTGCCGATTAATTTGATAATACTACTGTTATTATGCAGAAGGTATAGTGTGAATTAAAACAACAGTTAAAACCTATAGATAGCTACATTACAAATGGAAATTTTAAGTTTAATACAATTTATTTCAGTCGTTTTGAGTTTTCTTTATTGATTTATTAAAAAAGTTTAAATTAAAATAGGATTCTACAGTAGACCTAAAATTAATCACCTGTTATGTAGCAAGTCAACCAAAAAAAAAAAAAAAAAGAGNAAAAAGAGGATAAATTTAAATGAAATAAACAACTGGTCACTTTTCCCATTGTTTTTTCTTTTCTTAATTGTTCAATGATAAAAGAACATCAACGCAGAAATTTAATTAAAATATCGAAGGTCTGTATTAAAAATTTTATCCTTTAGAATCCATCAATTTTTATATATAAAAAATTAATGCAGAAGGAGCATTCATCATCAATTCACATATTTCAAAGTTGTAATGTATGCGTTGAATGTATTTTGTTTCTGCAAATATTTCATATCAAGTTCTCTAAAGTCCGCAGGCTTCATTACAAGGATTTGACCAGAGCAAATTTACTACTGTTTAGCAGTACCTTTACAAATCCAACTTTAGAAAAAACGGTAGTTTCACAAAATACTTTTAAGGAAGCAAGTTCTAAGATTCTCCACCTCGCCTCTTAAAATTTTGTTTTTGTATCCTCATATGAAACGATAAATCCCTGGGTAATTCCGCATATGCGAATAGGTCAGATAGGGTGGTATGGTAAGTCTAAACGGTTACTTAAAGCTTATTCTAGCGAGCTTTTTTTCTTCGCAGTGTTTTTTTTTTGTTTTGTTTTTTTTTAAAGCCGAGACACTCTCTCTCTCTCAGTTGAAATTCGAATTTTATTCTAAATATTTGAACATTGTTCTTAATTTAATCAAACAGACCTTTATTTTTTACATGAAAAAATTTTTCTCAGTGAAATTTTTTTCAATATGACATGGTGGGAAACGTTCTCATAATGAAAATAACTCTTAGTGCAAGTACTGTTAAATGCATGTCTTTTTCTTAAAATTCCAGTTGAAATTTAACATTGGACAATGATCTTTTTGAATTTTTCAATTTGGATACAACTTTAAGCCCAAAATTTTACAATAGCAGGGGTCTGTCTAGGTTTTTCTGAAAGGTACCTATTTTGTGAAAATTTAGACATAATTTGTGAAAAATTAAAAATTATATTACAAAATCAATACAAAAACATGGTAAAAATATAGATTTATCGTTTCTTAAGGGATACAAAAATAAAATTTTAAGAAAAAGTATTTTGTGAAACTACCGTTTTTATTA